AAAAAAAAAAAAAAAAAAAGCAACATAACAGCGAAGCAACAAAGCAGAGAAGCAGCAAAACCATCTCAGTGGCAACCCACGCACGAACGCAAAAAGCAGCGGTCGTGCATACGAGGGGAAAAAACTACGCCACTGCAGAAGCAACTCTGATACCAAGAACAAAGCACAGAAAAATAAACAACGGGGAGGAAAGGCTAATCCGATTTAGTAGACGCACCACTTCAAGGTGTGGTAAAACATCGCTCTTTATCAACACGTCCAAACGGGGACGAATGGAATGAACCATCTCCACCCCCCTGCAAAACAATGGAGGAATCCAGTCCGCAGAGCCCCAAAAAGGAGAAGAAAATAAAAAAGGGCCAAAGGCCCATGGTTGTTAGTAACAGGAAGCCATTCAACATTTTTGAGAAAAAGAAAACGGCCAAGCCGATCGTCCGCGACCCCCGATTTTCGAACCTCTCAGGTAAGGGAACGAATGAAAAAAAAAAAAAAAAAAAAAAGGAAAGTGAAGTGAAGGGATAAATTCACACCAGTGCAGAGTAGAAGGGTGTTCGCCTGTCCATCGGGACACTATCACCCGTCTTCATCACCGCTTTACGTCGCTCTGTAGGCACGCTCAACCCGAGCTTCTTCAAAAAGGCATACAAATTTTTGTACGACAAGAGAGAGGAAGAAAAGGAAATCATCGAGCAAAAGCTCAAGGGAAAGAAACTTACACATGAGGAGAGGCAAGAGCTTAAGAACAAGCTGAATACCTATAAGGAAACTGAGCGGATGCTTCAAAGGAAAGAGGAGGAGCGAAAATTAAAACAAGAGCTTGTCACGGAGGAGAAAAAAAACATATTACATAAAAATAAACAGCCATTTTACTACAGCCAGCGAAAGATTAGAAAGATGGTAAATGAGCAGATGGCCAACAAGGGCAGCATAAAGAAGGCTGTGAAGAAGGAGAAGAAGGTTGTGCAGAGGGAGCGCAAGAGAAACATGATCCCGGAGAGGCGCCTCGTCGCCGACAACGTGTAAGAAGGAGAAGATATAAGTCACATGCCTCCCTTACCAATGTTTGCACCTTTTATTTTATTTCATTTTTTTTTTTAATTTTTTTTTTTTTGTTGTTGTTCAACGCGCTCCTACGGCACAGGTAGATCGCGTGGGCATGCCTTCTCCCCAAAGAGGGGTGTAAAGGTTATTATGCCCTCCCCCCCTTTTCCTTATAAAGGAAAGAACTGCATTTGAACACACGTGGTCCGACCACGCCTTTTTTATTTTATTATTATTATATTTTTTCCTTCCCTAAAACTTACCATTGAATGGGTTTGCCCCTCCCATCTGTAATGATGAAAAAAAAAATTTTTAAGCAACTTTTTTTAACGAGCAGTGGGTGTGACTGCTCTAAGGCATTATTCCCCTCGACGTGGCGAAGCAGCAACCTGGTGACGAAACCTTTCTACACATAATGCTTCAAAGGAAGCCCCCCAAGGGGCTCTTCTTCCACCATATGGAGCGGCGACTCCTTTCAGGCCTACTTGATAAAGAAAAGGCCTCCAGAATGACTGGTAGTGTGATAAAGTTTGACCGCCGCAAGGGATACGGCTTTATAAGTGAGTAGGCAAGGGGACTTGTGCCCGTGGCCATATCCCCCACATACGTCTTGTGGCTCACATGACAAGTGACGCTTTATATGTACATGTAACGCTTTATCTACACACGGAAAAACCAACCAACTGGCCCCACCTCTTTATTCACAGAGCCTAATGATGGAGGACCGGACATCTTCGTTCACTACACGGACATATGCCAGGGTAAGCGTCTTCACACGGGGAGCGGCCCACGTGTACGCAAAACCATCCTTTCGAGCGCCATTTAACACACACCACTGCAACCACGCGACGGCTAACCGTGCTAACCTTATATCGCTTCCCCCTGTGATAACCCTAAACCGCTCCCCACCGCAACAGGCAGGACCTTTTCATTAACGAGTGAAGAGAAAAAAAAACTGAGTTGGTGCTCGAGGGTTGACATGCCACCTCGCCAAGCAGAATACGACTACGAAAATGAAGATCCCCCTGGAAAAAAGGAGCAAATAAAAACAGAGTTCAAATATTTAGTGCCGGGGGAAAGGGTTAAATTTTACGTCACCTATGATCAGCAAAGCCATTCGACCAAGGCGACACATGTGGACTACCTGGACTGAAGAGAAATTGGGTTTGCGTGGAGTCAACGACAAAAGCGCAAAAGGGGAAAGCGCGCCGCGGGACAGAGAGGGCTGCTCACCACGGCGTGAAGGCTTAAAAGAGATTTTTCATTATTTATCCCTCACTGTACCATGCTAATGTACGTATATGTTGAAATGGGAGCTGCAGTGAGAGAGTTGGCATGCTTGTATGCTGCTATGCATTACGCACTAGGTCGTTTTTTTTTTTCCGTGACCGGCTTGGAACGCGCCTTTAAGCCTCGGGTCGTGTTGTCCCCCCTTTACCAATTCTGCACTCGCGATTAAAGGAATAAAAATAATACCCCACCCTATAAAGAGAAGTGTATCGCTATAGTGGAGTTTTTTTTCCCTCACTCCCGTTATACCACCATACAATCATTCGTGTGCTGCCTACCCAAATTTTGCCATCTTCCCCTGTGGCAACTCTTTTTTTTTTTTTTTTTTTTTTCCTTCCCTGTGTTATAGGTATGCAATGGGAGTATGCAAAAAAAAATTCACAAAAATGGCAAAGTTCGCAAAGGTTGGAATTTTTTTTCAAAATTTGCGAAAAATTGTCCCCCAAATGGTATACACGGTACGAGTGCAAAAAAAAAAAAAAAGGACTAGCTTTTTTTTGGTAGATTTTTACTGGTTCATATTTTTTTTTTTTTTTTTTTTTTGTGACTTGCTGATTGCGCCTCCCCACTTGCATAGTGGTCTTGAGCTTCTATTTTAAACGACGCGTTTGAAACTCTTTTCTCCCGCATTTTTCTGAGCCGCTCCCCACTGAGCAACGTGTAACATGCTTTTCTGCTTTCCCGCCGAGAGAGCACAGCTCCGGCCCAACTTTTTTCCAAACGCCCAAGAAAAAAAAAAAAAAAAAAATGGCTAGCTACCAATACCTTAGCTATGTAGATCTGTACAAAATTAATAATATTAATTTGGACCCCTTCACGGAAGTCTTCAATGACAAATTTTATCTGAGGTATATTTACAAATGGCCTCACATGAATATTGTTACGAAAGAGATGGATGATCATATAAGTGGTTACATCATAGGTGAGTACAGGAGACAGGATTAGAGAGGTGGAAGTGGTTGGCGTAGCATTTCTCCCCCGACTTTGTTGAGGGAACATTTTAAAAGTGGGATGCCCCTCTAAAAGCATGACTCCATTTATGTTCTCTCATCTCCTCACCTATAAACCTCGTGCAGGTAAAGAAGAAGGACTGGGGGAGAACTACCATGGACATGTGACGGCCTTGTCCATTGAGGAGGACAGTCGCAGAACGGGCAAGGGTGTAGACCTAATGAATGAATTTGAAAAAATTTCAAGAGGTATACACATGGCTAACTTTGTGGACCTGTTTGTTCGCATCACGAACGAGCCAGCTATCACCATGTATGAAAAGCTCGGTTACATTGTTAACGAAGAGATCGTCAACTACTACTGTGGCAATGAGAGTGCCCTGGACATGCGCAAGTACCTGAACGTACCAGCGGGCGCCTGCGTGAAGTGACGCAGAGGAGCGCACTTTTTTTGCTTCAGACCTCGCATAACGTGTGCGCAGGAGAAGCAAACTCCACGCACACACACGTACATGGGCATATGCACATGGGTATGCGTCCAACCCCCCCCTCGCATCACATTTTTATGTACCATTCGTGACAAACCCTGGGTTTGAAAAAACGAATAAATTGTTTTCATGTAAATTTTAAGTGCATGTGTGTAAAATATATGCATGCCTTTTTCGCATTCACTTTTTTTTTTTTTCACAAACTCCTACACAACTTGTTTATAAACAAAACACATCAAATGGTTAATCGTGTCTTAACCTGACGGGGGAGGAGGAGAGGTATTTGCAGTGGGAAGGAAATTAAGTGGAGGCCTCCTCTCCATGCGGCTTTTTCTTCCCTGACACATGGTATAGGTGTCTCCCCACAAAAAGAAGGGGTACAAAAATTGGGAGGAAAAACTGTCGTAGCAGTCTTGTAAAAGACCTTCCATTCCAAACGCCGTGAAGTTGAAGTAGTAGCAGAGACGGGAAAACGTTGTGTGTAATGGCCATCTGTAACTCCGGGGGGGACATGATATAGTGTACACATGTTGTGGAATTAAAAAAAAAAAAAAAAAAAAAAAAAAACACAATTCTTGTAAGCCATTGTATGAGCGGAATTTTTCTCCCCTTTTGAACTTCACCTCGAGGAGGAACTGTCCACTCTACATGTCATGCAATCCTTTAAGCAATGTGGGAAATGCAAGTGACACTGGCGCAGGCTATGCCGCTCTTCATTTTTTCCGCGATAAAGAAGGCACCACAAGCCAAGCAAAAGCAGCGCAACAAAAAAAAAAAAAAAAAAAAAAAACTTATACATTTTCGCCCTGCGCATATAAACAGTATATAACGCTGCCTTTTCCTCCAAGAGATGACAAATCCCATTTTTGGAAGAGCCAACTGCAGGTCTTTCGCCCGTCCGCTGCATAAACACTGAAATGTGCGCGCACAGCTGAGCATATGCTTAACCAAGTCACGCACGCAATTGTATATATTGGCACAAACTCGCACAGGCCATTCCAACAGCCTACAGTCACCCCACACCATACACCCCCCCCCCCCCCCCCCCCCCCCCCCCCAAACGACATGATGGAAAACACCGCCGCGCACTTCCGGCTGCTAAAAATAAACCACGGAGCCGTCCGCAGGCTCTTCAAGGAATTAGCGTACTACGAGAAGGAGGAGAGCGAGCTGCGTACCAAAGTGAACTCCCTCAAGGTACGTCTCACGAAATGAAAGAAGAGGGGATGCACTGACGTACTGACGTACTGATGCACTGATGTATTGAGCAGTGAGGTGGGACAGACTCCTCCCTTCCTCTACCATGCAAGCGAACGGACTGAACATGCTCCTCATCACCGCACCACTCTTCTGTTCCACACCACGCAGGACCAAAACAAGTCCCCCGCAGAAATCACGCGCGCACAAGAAATGCTCAAGGAGACGGAGCGAGTTGTACCCCACATAAAGTCATCCCTCCAAACCAGCCTAAAGAAAGTATGTGATATTATTCAAGAGCATTTTTCAAATGTACTGCAAATAAATGACAAGACAATTCAATTCTGTGACACTCATTCCGAGGACACGTTGAAGGAAGTCCTTTCGACTCACTACGACGACATGTGTAAAGAAGTGGATGGCCTGAACGACATATTGGGGAAGGTCCTGTTGTGCACCAAGCAGGACACCCTCCCCAGGTGTAACCCAACCCCCAGTGTAGCTGTTCCCCTCTCCTGCGATGAACCCATCGAGTGCGTTGACATATAAATGGGATGCGAATCATAACAACCGGGGAGGCACAGACGAACTGTGAACTCCGGTCATTACAAAAAACGGGGATGTGCCATTGCTTTTTCCATGTATATGTATATATATATATATATATATATATATAAAAGGTCGACTCTGTCACAAATTAGGGATTGCATATGTGTCCCATTAGGTTGATCCTTTTCCCCCCCCAAACCAGAACGCTTTATTTTTTTTACGTATACGTGACAGTTTGTCCTGTCCTTTTTCTCCGTTTTTTTTTTTTTCTGTACCTGTTATAAAAAGGCCAACGTGTAACTATACCAACCGCGTGAGAGTAGCAACAAGACACCCATAAATGAAAAAAAAAAAAATTTTTTTTATTTTTTGTGCACCTGTTGTGGGGATGACTAACTGGGTCTATACTAACCCATGGGCGATGGAGGAGTCCAACCACGCATTCTACCCTCTCCCCCCCATGCATTAGTACAAAGGTAAACAAAGAGAAGGGAAGTGACAAAAAAAAGGTTTTTAATTCCTATTATACTATTCAGCATAGGTAACCCATAAAAGAAGGGGTATGAATTTGTCGTAGTGTCACCACGAATTGACAATACGATGGGAGATGTCCCTTTTTTTTTTTTTTTTACCTGACTTGAGGGTACTTCCATCTTGGTAGGAGGAAGCCCAGTGATGTGGTCGCCTTGTCAGTTGGAACAGCTGTCCCTCTTTTCTTTGTACACTTTTATTTTTGCTGAAAAGGGATTAGCAGAGTACGTGTGTGTGTGTGGGGGGGATACTTCCGACCAAAGGGAATCCTCTCAGCCGTAGCTGGACATGTGCATGTAGCGATACGCATACCACACACATGGAGAGGTCCAACGGGGCCAAAACGCGCCTATGCACACGTGCATACGTGTATATTTGCGCGCCCCTTTTTCCCCCGAGTGGGAACTTCCCCTCGGTTTGTCCACCATCGTCCCCACGACGTTCGACCATCTGATTGTAAAAAGGGGAGCGGGCGGTGGGAACAGAAGAGCCGGACACATAACACATAACTGACTCCGTGGTCAGCTACTACCCCAGGGACCTTTTTTTTTTTTTGCCGTCCATTTTGCGTCACGTCTGCGTCATCGCATCAACGTCGCGTCATTGTTGAAGCTCTACTTTGTTTTCTACTCCTATCAACTTTTTTTTTTTTTTTTTTTTTTTTTTTTTCCAACTTGTGGTGTGCTCCCCCCTTTCACACCTGGCCACGCGGAGTGAACACTGCGAAGTGAACGCCACGTCGACAGGCAAAACTACCCCCTCGACGAAGGAGCGGACAAGAAGGAAGCCCGAGCAACTCCGCTAAAGAGGCCGCAATATAAAAGTAGACCTACTGCACACCCCACGTGATGATAACAAACATGGTGATCAAAACGAACGACTCGGGATATTTTCGCATCCTGGGGAACGTGCGAAATTACCCCACGAAGCCCGTCTTCAGGATCGAGGATGTGTTTCCCTCCTGCGCCTGGATCAGCTTCCAGTGGTAAGTCGATGAGCGGCACGTCATCAGTTCAGCAATTCACCGCGTCATCACTTCACCGCGTGACCACCTCACCGCTTAACCGCCGCTCAACCGCAGGGAGCGCACCTTCAAGCCATTCGGATTCATCGAGCTGGTTCATGGCAAGTACCTGGCGTGCCCGCTGATCGTGTTGCTCTACCTGCTCATGTGCAGGTACGGCCCCGCCAAAATGAAAAACAGAAAAGAGTTTGATTTACGCAGAGTGGTCATCTTGTGGAACGTCCTCTTGTCCCTCTTTAACCTGATCGTCGTGGTGAAGCTAACCCCAGTCCTGCTATACACAATATACAAATACACATTCACAGGATTGCTCATCATCCCACCTATATACACCTACGCCTTTGGCACCCCGGGCTTGTGGATCTGCCTCTTCATCGTGTCCAAGTTCCTGGAGCTAGCGGACACTCTCTTTTTAATTTTAAGAAAAAAGAAAATCACGTTACTGCACTGGTTCCATCACTCAACCGTCTTGCTCTACACCTGGGACACATACTATTCTGAAGTCCCTGCAGGATTCGTTTTTATTTTAATTAACGCATTTGTACATACCATTATGTATAGCTATTATGCCATGAGCACTGTGTGGAGGAAGCCATTATCATGGAACATCTTAGTCACCTTGCTTCAGATTATTCAAATGGTCTTGGGCATCCTCCTAACACTTTACTGTCTCCACATAACATACACGTATAAATATAACACCTACTGGGACCTCAGATCGCTTAGAAAAATGCAGAACAAATTTACTTTCCACTATGGCCACTACGTGTCCCGGACGAATATTGCTTACGCCGTGCTTATGTACTTGTCGTACTTGATCCTGTTTGGTAAATACTTTTACCACCGCTACGTGTGCACAGTGCCCAAGCACGTGGGGAAGGAGAAGCCGGCCTGAGCGCAGCGACCGCCACGTTCATCAGCGACTTCACCGCCAGGCTGGTCACGTGGTCGCCACGTCATCGCTACGTCATCGCCACGTTCATCACAATATTTTTTTTTTTTTCCCCCTTTTTTGCAAACGGGCAAACCTAAACGCCGACATCAACAGCGGGGTGACAGCTACACCGGCAGGGATGACTTCGCCCCGCGCGCAGTCACAGAGCGAGTGTCGCTTCGTGTTCAAACAATTGACAACATATTTGGTGTAACA